CGCCAAAACCACTCGCCTCGGCGCCCCTGGGCGCCCCCAATGCGCCGGGTTCGCCCTGTGTCTACCGGCCCTAACTTCGGCCCAAACCGGTGAAAAACGGGCTCTTGGGGGCACGACTGGGCTGTTTTTTCGGTGCCGGCGCAAAAAAATCACCTTGGGGCGCCGTGTTGGGGGCGCGGCTAGAGATGCTCTAATTGCTTTGATCATTCTTTCTGGGAAAGGATCCCAGCCGGTCGACCGATCTCGTCCTCGGTCGGTCACAAACACGCGTGCCACGTGTCCACCTCGCTGCAGGCCTTGTGTCACATTTTTTTCTCTTTTCTCGGCGGAGAAACATCATCCGTTCGCCATCTTGCTTTCCTCCTCGTCTTCACTGTAGATTACTATGGATGTCCTGTGTTAGAATAATGGGTTTGACCCATTAACAAATTCTGAAATCTCAAATGAGCCCATGAGAAAAAATGAAAGTGGTGGTGTGGTGCAAAAGATTAGTCCAACATTGCTAGTTGAGCAAGTGTAGGACCTCTTTAGATAGTGGGTTCGAGAGGAAGAGAAGACACTTATGTGTGCTCGCCTTGCTTGGTTGGGCTCAGGGTTGGGCGGGGCGGGCAGGGTGTACGTGCGACATGTACGTGAATGGTCCGTTGAAATCTGGTTTGTTGCCTTGTAGGGGGCACTGCTTCCTTTTGTCGTTTTATTTTTTTGGTGTCTTGACCTTGCTCGGTAAGTTTGGCCTAGAAACCAAGTCAGTTTGAGATCATGATCACGACACGATACGTCTCTGGTTCTCCTATATATATTACTTAGCGGCCTCAGCCAAAGACGCAGCGAAAACACCTAGGGTTTTGCCTCATCTCTCAACTTGAGCCGCCACCGTAGTCTACTCTATCCCTAACGTCGGCGTGCATCAGCGTGCGGGAGAGCAAGTCTCTGGAACAGTTCGTCCTTGCGATCCTGCATAGGGAGAGGACAAATTAGGTTTTTCAGAAGTGTTCACTGCTCAAATTCGTCATCACGGGTCGTCTTCCGTCCAAGTCAGGGGGGCTACTCATCGTCATCTCCATCAACGTCAATAACAGATTATCGTCAACATCATCATCAACACCGTTGTTCCTGCAGCAACTAGCGAGCAGTACGTCCTTCATGATATGTTCATGTCTCTCTCTGCAGTTGCTACTTCGTGTGTTATGTTGGTGTGCATGTTTTGTTGTTCATCTAGTTTGCTAGATTGTTACATGCCAGTATCTGTTGTAGTCATGAATTATTTACTGGAATTAACCATTAACTTGCCTAATATTCCAACAATCCAAAAACCGTATTTAGGAAATTTCCTAAGTTAACTATGGCTGGATTCGCTGATGCACCGAGGCTGGATAAGTTTATCAGTGTGCACTTTAAGAGGTGACAGGTGAATACCATGCTCTGGCTTACTACTCTGAAAGTTTTCCACGTTAGTGCTGGTACTCCATAGGGAATTTCTGAGGAAGATTAGAGAAACTTCCAGGAAGCTAATACTATGTTTGTGGGATGCATTCTGAGTGTTCTTGATGATCGTCTATGTGATGTGTACATGCACATAGAAGATGGAAAGACGCTGAGGAATGCACTGAATGCTAAATTCAGTGCAAAAGTTGCAGGCAGTGAACTGTACATCATGGAGAGTTTCCACGACTACAAGATGGTGAATAGTCGTTCTGTGGTTAAACGGCCTCATGAGATAAAGTGCATTGTGAAGAAACCGAAACTCCTTAAGTGTGTTCTACCCGAAAAATTTGTGGTTGGGTGCATGATTGCAAAGTTGCCTCCTTTATGGAGGAATTTCGCCACAACTCAAACATAAGAGATAGGAGACACCGGCTGAAAATCTGATTGCATCTCTTGATATTGAAAAGAAAGCTCGGGCTAAAGATATCATGGAGAAAGGAGGTGGTTCAACCTACCGTCAATATGGTGCAGAGGTACCCACAGAACAAGAACAAAGGGAAGAACAAGCCTGTTTTCAACAAGCCTACCAAGACTACTACCTTCAAGAAGAAGAAGTTTAACAAGGTTGCGCTAGAGTGCTATGCATGTGAGAAGCCTGGACACTTTTCGAAGGAATGCCCAGAATGTGTAGACCGCAGAAGAAAAACGAGCTCCAAGGCTGTCAACATGGTGACCGCTAGCAATACTGATGGGTATGGTAATTTACCTATTGTTCTTTCAGTAATTCATTCATCTTCGTGGTGGATTGATTCGGGTGCTAACGTTCACGTGTATGTGCTAACGTCGCTTTGTTCATTTTTTATTAGGTCATAAGGGATTCTTCCGTCCTAATGGGGAATGGGTCACATGCTTCTGTTCGTGGCATTGGCACGGTGGATCTGAAGTTTACTTTGGGGAAGATCATGCAGCTAAGGAATGTGCAACATGTCCATACTATGAATAAGAATCTAGTTAGCATCTCCCTTCTATGTCGAGATGGGTCTAAGGTAGTTTTAGAGTCGAATAAAGTAATCATGTGGAGATTTGGAAAATTTATAGGCAAAGGCTATGAGTGCGAAGGCTTGTTCCTCTTTTGCCTTTTAGATTTTCACAATAAGTCAGTAAACCAAATTTGTGCTAGTGTTAATGATGATGCAAATGTGGAACTCTCGTTTATGTCATATTAGTTTTGGTGTGATGTCTTGATTATCTAGTATGAGTTTAGTTTCAAATTTCACTATTGCCAAAGGTTCTAAGTTCCATAGTTGTGTGCAATCGAAGCAACCTCGAAAGCCTCACACTGTTGCTGAGGAGAGAAACTTGGCACCTCTAGAATTCATACATTATGATATTTGTGAGATGAATGGTGTGTTTACAAAAGGTGGAAAGAGATATTTCATGACATTGATTGATGATGCGGCTAGATTTTGCAATGTTTATTTATTGCAAACTAAAGACGAAGCTTTAGACTACTTTAAAATCTATAAAGTTAAAGTTGAAAATCAACTAGAGAGAAAGTGATGAGGACATCAATACCATTGTTACACCCACAACCCCTGTTGCTATACATACTAGACCAATTACTAGAGCTCGCGCACGCCAACTAAATTACCAGGTAATTTCGTTTCTTGGTAATGATTCTAATGTTCATGAGAATATGATGCTGCCTAAATTGGATACATTTGTTTTGCTTACAAATGAAGGGCCTAGCTTGGAGAAGGATGAACATTGGAGCAAGAACAAGCATGGAGATGATGGCATGCGCAAGGGGAACAAGAACAGAGTTACAAGTGATGATTTCAGGCCTTTGAAGCCACCATAATG